GCGGCGGGGGGCAGGAAGGGGATTCGAACTTGGGGGGCGGAATGACATATGCAGCCTCGGCCAATGGGCGTCGGGGACGGGTTATAAATAGCGGTCCCGGGTGATGCCAGCCGGTGGCGGCGGAGCTCGCGAGCGGGGGGCGGCGCCGGNGGAGGTCACGGCGCCGCCGCTCCAAGTGGTGCAGGGAAGGGCGTCCTTGGGGGGCACGCCTGGCTTTGCGCGCGCCTTGTTTACGCGTGCCCGCGTCCTCCGCTGGCCCGGGATGCCCGGCCGTCCTTGGGTGATCCGTTTTAGGGAGCCTGGAAAGGACGCTCTACTCGGGCAGATGGGGCTTGCCGGCCGCTTTTATTTGAAATGTGCCCCTCTTGGCCTTGGCGCCCCTGTAACTTGGCAAACCTCGGCTGTTTCTTCCTGGATGGACAGTTGAGGATTACTTTCTTACCAGCAGGTGCGCCCAGGGTGGTTACCTTTGCTTAGTTTCCCACAAGGCTACAGAATTTCATTTTCAAACGAAGTTTCCTGAAACTCCTCGGAGGCTGTACTGTAGATACCCAGGCTTCAGGGTGCCCAGCCCTGGTGGTTGGCTCCTTCAGGCAAAAAACACTTGTTGATTTCCTTTATAGTGTGCAAATCGCCCGGCCCGAGGTAATACCAAAGTGAATATCCTTTTATTCCCCACAACAGCCCTGTAAGGTAGGTGCTATTATTATCGTTTTCGTTTTAAAGATGAGGAAATTGGGTGCAGAGAAGTTACGTGACTGACTTGCCAAGGTCACAGCCAATATGTTGCAGAACCGGCCCTTAGGATCCGCAGTCCACCCTCTTAGCCTCCCTGCTGACCTCTCTCTCAGGTGCTTGCCCTCAAGGATTTTGGTATCAATTAGGGGAGATAGCCAAACAGTTTACATTAGAGGGGGCCATATGAATGCCATACTAACCCCCCTTTTTTTTCTATTTTGAGTTGTAAAGTTTCCTCCAGTTGCTTGAAAGCTTTAGAAGCACATGGGTAATAAAACAGCAGAGAGTTTTAAAGTGATGCTATCGGAAAATGTGACGATTACAAGGGAATACTATCTTTGGTAACATTTACCAGCTTGTAATAACATGATTCAGATACTTATTCTCTGAATATCTTTCAGGGTCATTTGTATTTGATTTAGGCTTAGTGAAAGGACTGCGCTTGACAGTCAACTACTGACTGTGCTGTATGTTCATAACTCGAATCAAGTGGAGTTTTGGGAAGAAATGGACTCCTGAAGGCTTTGACCCTGTTGGCATCTGATGCCAGGGATCTGCTCAGCATCAGACTACCATTTGCCAAGTAGGCAGGGCAGATCTTCCAGACTCCAGGCCACGAAGTAGGACTTCGGCTTTAAAGCACTGCAAAAATCTCATCCAATCGTAACATTTCTAGAGCCTAACAGGCGAGCTTTCCTGTGCTCCTTTCCCGGAGGAGCAGACTGAGCACAGGTCCAGGTCCAACAGCGAGTGAGTGGCAGACTTAGAAGTACACGGGCTCTGTTATAGCTGGCTTTGCTTTTTCGCTGATGAGGTCAGGGCAAGCCTTGTCAACGCCAGGAGAACAGCGTTTGTTGGGGAGCTGGGATGATCCAAGAAGAGAAGCTAGGGTAAGTGGGAAGGTTAGGAGTGGTATAGAAAATCTCCCTCAAGACAAGAGTTACCTTTTACATATCTTTGTATCTCCCTTGGTTCTTGGCATAGATTCCTTGAATGTTTTGAATGAGTAGCTGAGTATCGAACTCGTTTGCTCTGCACTCTCCGCCACGAATGACACTAGAAGTGACCTATGAATGAACAAGGAGAGTATTTATGGGGTTCGGGAATGCTTTAGGACTGAAATGAAAAGACACATGTGGAAACACTGAAAATAGAAAACCTTCTATTCAAATGCAAAGGATTACTCGTACATTTTTGATGGCGTGCCTAGACACGTCTCGCATGCGCCCTCTGCTCTGACTTTTTGTTCACTTAACTCTCTCCATCTCCAACACCTTACTCTTACCCTTCTTCTTCTTTTTTTTTTTTAATGTTTTATTTATTGACTTTAGAGAGAAATTTTATTTATTGGTTTTATTTTTTTGATTTTGTTCTTCCACTCACTTGTGCATTCCTTGGTTGACTCTCATATGCACCCTGACCAGGGGTCGAACGTGCGACCTTGATGTATCGGGATGAAGCTCTCACCAACTGAACTACCAGGCTAGGGCTTTTCCCTTCTGTTTTGAGCCCTATAGGAGGACATGACTTCCTTTGATCCCGCCAGGAACTTTGGACTTGGTTGCTCTGGTTTGTAGCGTTCTGACTTGTTGACGTTTCTTATCTCCAAGCAAACCTGTTTCATTTTGAGTCTTCAGATGCTGCTAATGGCTGTGCCTCTGAGTCTCAGCCCTCGGTGCGTGCTTGTTGCATGAAAGGGCATCTTAAAAATCAGCGCCACCTGGATGGAGGATTTCCATTCTCCATGTTGCTTTCTGGTATTTGCAAGAAGTTGCTTCAGGGAGTTGTGGCAGCAGTGCTGAAATTAAAAAGGAGCTAGACCCATTTTTAGAAGGATGTTTATGGACTCTGCTGGGATTGGGTGCTGGGCACTGCGGGGGCCCACATGATGGGTCAGAATGTAAATGGACAGTTGGGGGAGTCAGCTGAGCGTAACGGATAGGGTTCCAGGTCCTCTGCTTCTTCAGAGCTTTGAAGGAAAGAAAGGAAGGATGGGGGGAACATTGGGAATCCTGGGGATGATGGGAGCTTTCCACGAACCCCTGGGGATCTGCCAAGGAGAGCAGAGGAGTAGCCACTAAAGCCTAGGTCAGTAACAGCCAAGGTCAATGACACTTCACCCAGCCTGGTTAGAGCTGGCAAAAAGTGGCGACTTGTGAGGACCGACCAGTGACGTGACAGAAGAGCCCATAGTTGCACCCTAATCTGCAAGCACAAACTGGAATTTTCCTTTCTTTTTTGTTGGAGTCATATCCACATGTTTAATATTCTTGAGATGTGCACCTGGCAGACATGAGCCTGTGTTCATGCAGCCTCGGTTCGAGGGTTCTCACAGGGTGAGCATCCTGCCTCACTTAATAGGATGCGTGTTTTCTGTGCAGTGTGGCATCTAAACAAGTTGCTGCTGTACTGCACAGTAGTTTAGACAATTTAAGGGAAGTCCAAGGGTGACTTTGATTATATACAATTTTTCCTGGACATGCAGACTTAGAAATAACTCATGCAAGCTGAGACTGGGCTCTATAGCAATTTTTTTTTTTAACTTTTGAGCTACATTAACGATCAATTAGACATACGTGATTTAGGCTCTGAATTGAATAGTGAGTTTATAACTACAGTTTAAGAGGGAAAGTGGATTTCAACTTTAAATACCTGAATTGGGAACAAACTTATGAAACATCTTCTCTAAGTAAAAGACTTGGCAAAGAAGTTCAATCACATAGAACTGCTGTATTCCAAGCTCTTTGGATTAGTATGTTTTTTTTATGTCTTGCTGTTCAAAAGACAAAGTACGGTATGTTTTTCTCAGCACATACATATTTTATTCTCTTTCCTCCTAGTGATTTTCCTTCAAGAAAGTTGGGGACTCGGAAAGTTGGGAGCCGCTCTGAACATGGCGAACCTGCTGAAAACAGTGGTGACTGGCTGTTCGTGTCCTTTACTTAGTAATTTGGGGTCCTGCAAGGTCGTGCCTGGGAAGAAGAAGTTTTTACGAGCGTTTCACACTCATCAGGCGCTGTGGTGTAAATCCTCCGCGAAGCCAGGTAGAGTCTCCCTTCAGCGTGTGTGAAGCTGGCCTTCAAGTCGTGGGAGCGAATGGCTCTCCCGATGACTGAAAAAGCACAGCCGTGCCTGGTGCTTGTGGGCGATCACTTACGTGTGTGTGTGTATATGTGTGTGTATATATATATATTTTNATATATATATTTTTCTTTAAGTATGTCTTTATTGATTTCAGAGAGAGGTAGGGAGAGGGGGAGAGAGAGAGAAATATCAATGATGAGAGAGTCATTGATCGGCTGCCCCCTGCACGCCCCCAACTAGGGATGGAGCCTGCAACCCGGGCATGTGCCCTGACCGGGAATCGGACTGTGTCCTGGTTCATGGGTTGATGCTCAACCACTGAGCCATGCTGGCCAGGCCTGGGTGATCATTTTGAATGAAAAGACCTAATGAGCACTTTCTTATGAGAAGTTCTAGGTTGTCAGTGCTAATGCAGAAGGAGAGAGACTAGAAAAAGGGTAAACCAGTGGAGTGGAGCCTGGAAAGTGCTGTTTGTAGTAACCCTGACAGCTCTGTCTCTCTCCTGGTCAGCACTGGAGAATTGTACTAGATGAGGCACATCTGCGCTCAAGAATTAGGAACTAAGCGTATTACTTTATCTGCAGCAGCGTTTCTCAGAAGGCAGCTTCACCTCAGTTGCTCAGGTCAGAGACCTTGGAGCCTCCCTAGATCCTTGTAGTAGGTCAGGTCAGCTCTGCCTTTTATCAAGAATCTGTCCCCTTCTCACTGTCACCACTGTTACCCTTCTGCTCCAAGCCACCATCAGCTGTCACCTGGACTGCAGCACTAGTCTTCTGAATGACCTCTATGCTTTCTGCCTTTGTCCCCCTACGGTCTGTTCCGCATATGACAGTGAGAATAATCTTTTTAAAATGAAAGAACACCTCACTCTTGTACTCAGAATTTGCCACTAGCTTCCTAGCTCACACAGAGTAAGAGCTGAAGCCTTTTAGTGGTCTTCAAGCCCGCCCCGCCCCGACCGCCTTCTGTTCTGGGGTGCAGGCTAGAAGGAGGCCCTTCTAAGCCAAGTCAGATAGGTCCCTGTACGCATCTCACCCAAAGACCTTCCCAGCACTGTTTATACCCCACTGACCGGAACTCAGACCGGCGGCCGTATGTACTATAAGGGAGACAGAGACATTTAGTCTTTCACTCCAGGTGGCAACACTCTCAACTAAAAATGGCATTCTGTCTCTAAGGTGGGGAACAGGATGGATACCTGGGGGCAACCAGAAGTCTTTGCCTCGTGGAGTAATTTAAGTTTGTGAGACTGCTTGCTGTGCATTAAAGGCCCTAAACTCTTAGGCTTTTTGAATTCTCACGTCTGCCTTTAATCGATTTCCCAGCCTCTTTTCTTTTTCTCACACGACAAGTCACTGTTGGCAGGGGACCTGCCCCTGGGAGTCCTCAACTTTGGCTTCAGACTTTTCAAACAGTTCTAGAAAGCCAGATTATCCAGTGTGATAAAACTATGTATAAAATAAATACCTGCATTGAGGACATGACAGTTGCCCTCGTGCGTAAATGCATAGACACCAAGGTTTCTATGTTGATTATGTATAAGACTTTGTCTATTTTTTGTTTAATTTCTGATTGTGGATTATTTCCTAGGTAGTTACTTTTAATCTTTAAAAGATAAGGATTCTATTTTTTCCTTAATAAAACCACTATTTCATTATCACATTGAAAAGCATGAAAAGTATTCCAGTCACTGTTCATATTTTCTCACTTTTCCCCCCTTAATTTCTTTTCTTTTTACAGCTGCTTTGTTCAAACAATGAGCCACGTAGGGTCTACACGTTGTACTCACTTGCTGTGTCTTTAGGTGTCTTTTGACCTGTACGTTCCCCTCCTCAGTTTTCCGTTTAATATATTTGTTGAAGACTTTAGCTGTCTTCCTGTAGAATTCCTCGCAGTCCAGGCTTGCCTGACCGAATTCCCTCGGTATTATTTAACAAGTTTCCCTGCACCTTGTATTTTCTGTAACACTTAGCTAGATCTAGAGGCCAGACCAGAGTCGGGTTTGATTTATTGGGCAAGAACCGTGTATCACCTGTTGCATTATATCAAGAAGGTGAACCCGTGACTTCAGATGTTGTCAGTGTGATCCATCTATTAGGAAGTTCCTGTTAGTTTCTTACTCAAAGGCTATAGTGGCTGTTTGATTGATGATTATTAACTAAATCCATGATTTCACCAGGGGTTTTAAATTCGTGATATTCTATCATTCTATCTTTTTTTTTTTTTTTAAGGCTGCTAGGCTCTGTACTTCTTTACATGTATTTCTTTAAAAAAAAATTATTTATTGATTTTAGAGAGAGAGGAAAGAAGAGAGAGAGAGAAAAACATCGGTTTGGTGTTCCACTTACTTACGCATTCGTTGGTTGATTCTTGCATGCGCCCTGACTGAGGATCTAACCTGCAACCTTGGTGTATCAGGACGATGCTCTAACCAACTGAGCTATCCAGCTAGGGCCTATCATTCTTTGTTTATTAGCTAGAATTTCTCTATAAAGAAAAACGTTCCATCTATTATTTAGTTACCTGAGATTGTACTGGAAAGGTGCCATACCTGTTTGATTCTTTCCCATTATTTACTGGTTTTGGTAATAATCAGTTGGTTCCCTTATGTATCTATTCCGGCTGTAACAAATGATTACAATCTTACTGGCTTCCTACACCACAAATTTATTGTCTTACACTTCTGGAAGCCAGAGTCTGAAATGGCTCTCACTGGGTTTAAACCAAGGTGTTGGCAGGGCTGTGCTCCTTCTGGAGGCTCTAGGGGAGAATCTGCGTCCTTGCTTCTTTCAGTTTCTGGAGACTGCCTGCGCCGCCTGCATTTCTTGGCTTATGGCCACACCCTCCATCTTCAAAGCCAGCAGCTTCTTCAAATTACTCTTTGGCTTGGACTCTTCTGCCCCCTTTTTTCACATTTAAGGACCTTTGGGCCCACCCATACAATCCAGGATAATCTCCCCATCTCAAGGTCATCTGATTAGCAACCTTAATTCCACCTTAATTCTCCTTTGCCAGGTATGGTAACATAGTCACAGGACCATAATTCTACCTTCCACACATTCCTTCCTCCCAAGTTGACCAATGAAGCTGTTACAAAATATTTATTTATTTTTTTGAGTATCATCATGAACTCATGGGTTTTAACATTTTTGGGTATATTTTACTATGTTGCAATTAGTTATTATTCTTTTTGATGCTTAAGTTGCATCATATTTGGCCCTTTCAGATTCTTTCCTAAATCCTTTTGATGTGATTTCAATTGTCTTTGATATCTTCCGTGATTTGAGGTATGTAGGGCCTAGATAATCTGACATTGTTAGATAAGTGAACTCTAGATAAGTATATGGGGTTTAACTTTGTACATCAATCTAAAATATTTGCCAGCTTTTTATTGTTTTTCTCTCCTTGAAGTAGAGTGTAAGATTCAGCATATATCTGCCTCGAGTTTGCTATCGATTACAACTGCATATATAGTGTGGGATCTAAGACTGTTCAAACGCAGATATTTTTAGGTTGACAACAGCTCTCTAAGACCTCAATAAGTTACTCTATAGAGATAATTTCATTTTTTTATTATATATAATCAGAGTTTATGTTGCTAGATTTCCTAAACTTTAGTAAAACTTAAATAGAAGGAAATCCTTTTTATAAAAAAAACCTGTTTATCACCACTTGTGAGTTAAACNATAAAAAAAACCTGTTTATGACCACTTGTGAGTTAAACAACAGAAGAAACTAATGTACTTTAGCTAAAGCTGGTCTGAACCGTGTTACATACTTTAACACTGTATTACACAGGCTCTTTTGGGTCACAAGGAACAGAATCAAACCAGGTTTTTTTTTATATATATATATATAATTTTTTTTTACATAGATAGAGTCACTTTTATTGAACAGTTAATATTTTGTGATTAGGGCTTATTGTAAGGACTCGGGAAGCATGGGAGGCCAGGCTTGGAGACGTCTTGGAGAATGGAATGCTATTCTGGATGTCATAGCTGTGACTCACCTTCTCTCCTTGAGTCTCCACTGCTGATGTTTCTAGTGCCATTGCTTGCCGACCTCCCTTTGATTACCCACGCTGTGCTCACTGGTCGCTGCTGCACTGTTCCACTCTCTCTGTCCTTTCTGGGGGGTCTCCCCTCCAACTTCCTTAGAGAACCTGGTTGGGGTGGTAGTCACTGGCCAACACAGAGTGTCCCCTATGTAAAGGATCTCATAGGCTGCTGGTTTTTCTCCTGTCTGGCCTGTAGATTGTTATCTTTGACCCAGCTGCTGTCCCCTGGTCTAATGAGTTATCGCTGAGAATGTAAGGTCCCAAGCTACAACACCTGGAATCTGGGAGGCATTTCCTGTGGCCAAATTGCCAGGAAGGTGACTTTGGGTGTCCAGTAGAGAGAGGGGAAGGTGACTTTGGGTGTCTAGTAGAGAGAGGGGAAGGTGATTTTGGGTGTCTAGTAGAGAGAGGGTTCTTCAAAACAGCTAATTACTCCTTTGTCTTCCTTGAAAGTAAGGACAAGGAGACCGTAAACCCGAGAGTGTTAATTTGAAGAGTGGAGTTAGCATGTTGAGTGGTCTCTCAACCCATTTTTATCATGAGAATAAGCTAAGCTAGTCATGTGCCTTGAAGAGGGCCATTTGGTTAAATAAAATAATTAGAATTTTTAGGAGAGGGAGCATAAAAACTTATCAAAAAAAGGTCAAAGATTTATGATTCTGCATCAGGAACATCATTTTGAACAGAAACTCTATGTGCCGTCTATTTGTCTCTTCTGAACAATTTTCCCATATCCATTTTCTGAACTCTGTTATTGAAACATTGTTTACCAAGTGTTCTTTTTTTTTTTTGGCTTTGTAGGAATTCCATATAAGCAACTGACTGTCGGAATCCCCAAGGAAATTTTCCAGAATGAGAAGCGAGTGGCATTGTCTCCTGCAGGCGTTCAGGCCTTGGTCAAGCAGGGTTTCAATGTTGTCGTGGAGTCGGGTGCTGGCGAAGCGTCCAAGTTCTCAGATGACCACTACAGAGCAGCAGGTGCCCAGATCCAAGGAACAAAAGAAGTGCTGGCCTCTGATTTGGTGGTCAAAGTAATTATCCCTTTCCTTTCCCCCTCTTGTTGTGGCATGGGGATGTTTCAAACTCTTTGCATAGGAAAATTAATGTCCAATGTTAGAGCTTTTCATACTTTCAAACCATGCCTTTTTCTCAAAAGAATGATTGCATGTTGTGAGTATTTTTCATGTTCAGGCCATGATCTGTGTTTAACCATGAGAAGAGAAAAAGTGGTCTTTTTTTTACATTGGCTGTGTGGAAATCCCCTTTTAATTGGTTAGAGATATTTGCACTCCACGGTTCCTGTGTATCCCACATGCGCACAGGTGAGCATCTAGCTGCTACTGAAATAGAAAGAAGTCACGGAGCTCTTGGGACTGAATGTGCAGTGATCCTCCAAGGGAACAGTGATTGAACTGATGTCAGAGCTATTTTTAGAAAGGGTAGGACTGTCCTGGACAAGGCAGCATTGGGCTGAGTGGCCAGTAGCCTCTCTACTTTAATAAAAGTTCTTCATGTGGGATGGAAATCTACATGCTGAAGGACCTGAGCAATACATCTCATATAGGGAAAGGGAGAGAGGCTGTGTCTCAAGTCTAGCATAGATAATTACTAGAGTTGAACATTAACTTAAGTCCTAAGCCTTCTGCAACCAATGTAGACAGGGAAGTATGGATTATCGAAGCATGATTATCAGGTTAAAATAAGCTCACTTTTTCAAGATCAGTTTTTTTGTGCTAATTTCTCAGGAATGAATCACATAGTTTTTTGTTTTTTTGTTTTTTTACATCAAGTCCGTGGACTATTTGATAGGGCCTTAAATAGCGGTTCTTCCAGAAGATACAAAACCATTTTTTTTTTCCCTACAGAAAATGAGTAATAAAATGTATGGTATGGAGATAAATTATAATTTAGCTAAAGCTTTTAAAGTGGTTAGGTGTGCAGATACTTGGTGATAAAACTTGGTAGAGTGAAAGAGCTTAGGAAAAATAGAAAAATCAGTATAACCCATTCTATTGTATATTTTTGGGATCAAAACTTTTTGAGATGTCTCACATAAAAGGCTTAGTAGGGTGCACAGAAGTTTGGAAATGCTCTGTGTTCCATTTAGAGTTTTATGATGTGTGTGACATGTTGAAGGTACTGGAAAATCCTGTAACATAGAAACGCTATACTTGCGTTAATATACTACTTGACCCTGGGGCCTCTCTTTTAAGTCAGACTTGTTAATATCCAGAGGGAATAGTGATCTAAATAGTACGTTCAAGAAAATATTCTAATGGCTTAACTCACTGCAATGCCTACAGTCACAGCTGAGGGTTCGAGAGAGGCTGGTAGAATCAATTCAAAGGTATCCTCTAATTGTTATTAAAATCTATATTATAGATTCTCACTGAGGAGAGACAGACCTTGTCAGGGAGTCTTAATTAAAGTCCAGAACCTAAATCACATGCATCCCCAGATCAACAACCGAAATGGGAGTAACAGATAAAGGGTTCTCATAGTTTAATTGAGATGGAAGGCTGTGAAATGAAAGTCTTGACCCTGTGTTTGTGTTTGTATTTCCTTTTAAAACTTAAGTCCCAGGGCTGTTTTTTCTATGCTTTCCTGCCTAACAGCACTGCTGCGAACTGGGAGTTAAACTTTCATTGAAAATTGATTTCAAACTTGGATATAAAACACATTTTAAAACACTTGTAAAATGGAGTTAAAAAAATGGCTTTAAAATGTGGACATTTGGAACTTTTAGGCATGTGAATAAATTGACTTGATAACTTCTTTTTTTTTAAAAAATACGTTTTTATTGATTTCAGAGAGAGGAAGGTAGAGGGAGAGATAGAAACATCAGTGATGAGAGAGTCTTTGATCGGTGCCCCCTGCACACCCCCTACTAGGGTTCGAGCCCGCAACCCGGGCATGTGCCCTGACGGGGAATCAAACCGTGACCTCCTGGTTCATAGGTTGAAGCTCAACTACTGAGCCACACTGGCTGGGCATGATTTGATGTTTCTTAACAGAACAGACTTTACTGTGGCTTTTTGCTTGAACTCAGTTCAGCAAGGTACCGCTTGGATTGTATTCATCTGTAAATATTCACCTGGAATTTTAAGGTGGCATAAATCTATACATATGACCAGGAGATTTTAGTTTATAATGTTCTTAACTTCTCAACACCCCAAATGCTTGTGCTTGTCAAAATGAGCAAGAATTTAATCTTTGAACACACCGCCCAAACTTCCTGTTTATTCTAATGTCTCTTAATTGTACCAGAGAGCTCGGTTTTGGGAGAACAGGTTTGTTATAGAACCTGTGTATTTTCCCCACTGTTCCATGGTTCACTGTCAAACCTGTTCTGGTGCTATATTTAGTTGTATGTGCTCTTTACTAGTCCAGTGAGCGGCTCATCAGTCAGAGGACAGATGTCATAGATCTTCGTGTAGGAATTTAGTCAGAAATTTATTGCTGAAAAATCACTCCTGGAGTGTTATTTCAGTCGTGGCCTATTACTTAAATTGTCTTCTTTACCTAAAAATATGATAAACGTATTTACATTTTCAATCGGTGACTTGACTTTTTTCCCAGGTGCGAGCCCCCATGCTTAATCCAACATTAGATGCTCATGAAGCTGACCTTCTGAAGACATCGGGAACACTGATCAGTTTTATTTATCCAGCCCAAAATCCAGACCTGCTAAATAAACTTTCCCAAAGAAAAACTACAGTTCTGGCGATGGACCAGGTTCCAAGAGTCACAATTGCTCAGGGATATGACGCGCTAAGCTCCATGGCCAACATTGCCGGGTAGGTTCTCCTCTGTTTCAGCTGGAGAAAAGGGCAAGAGTATTACAGAAACGTGCTCACTGCAGCGCTTCTCTCGTATGGTGATTTTACTTATAATAATTGTTGGACAGTGCAGCCTTTGACAGCGCACTTAAATTGTTTTTAAGGCCCATTTTGTTGTTTCCCAGCCATCAGATAGGAAATGGTTCTTCATATTGGACTCTGTTGTGTGCTCCTTTTTAATCTTCGTGGGTAGAAGGTAGTATTTCCTTCCAGCAAAGGAAATGACTGTCAGGTTATTGTATTGGGAATTTACTGTATTTCATATATGCATGTGTACCTGTATATATTATGTTGAAATTGCTGTTTTTCCCCCCACCTTTATTGAGATACAGTTGACACATAGCATTGTGTAAATTTAAGGTGCAAACCTAATGATTTGATACATGTATATATTGTGAAATGCTTACCATAATAAGCTTAGTTAACATAAATTGCTGTTTTTATAGGTCAAAAATGGTAGGATATTGTCTGTTTTATATATTTCAATCTAATATATGCATATTAGCAGATTCACCATTTTAATTAGGTTTTGCTTCCATACATTCATAAAATATTTAATGTGTAGGGAAAATGCACTTGAAGAAGTTTCATCTGGTGTCAAAACCTATGTTGATAACTGACGGCTACCTGTGTCCTCTAACCTCTGGAGCCAAGAGGGCAGTGAACTCATCTGCCCGGAGCACCGATGCATTCGGGCTGCTGCCCGAGAGCTGTGAGGCCGGATCCCAGGCCGTGGGCTCAGGCCGGCTGATTGCGCGGCACGCCCGCCCCGGGAGGGCCAGGAATAGCTCCCCGAGGGCAGCGCCTTGCTCGCTTGGCTGGAGAGGGCCAGAAATCTGGAACTCAGACAGTGCTTCTGAAATCAGCTCATCTAAGAAACCAGTTGAATTAGATTTTAAGCATGAACACTGTTAGTACTGACAATTTGCTAACACGAATGAGGCACCAACAAATGAAGATGTTTAAAAAAAACCAGTGCGTAAGAAAAACAATAACCTGAATAAAGCCTGGCACATGAGCTGAAAGTTTCCTTAGGCTTCATGTCGTAGGTGTAACAGATTCTACTTTGGGTTTCAACTGTTCACCGTGGATGTAAATGAGATGCAGTGAACAGAAATGACAGGTAAAAACACATTTTATTGTCCTTAATGTAATATGGCAAATGGTTTGTTTAAAGACATTTTTTGGGATATAAATTATATACCAAGGAACAAAATAATTTTATGCCATATTTATTTAGTTCGAAGAAGAGTTATGCTATGCAATGAGGGACTTATACTTTTATATAGAAAATGTACAATGTAAACTTTTAAGGGTGCTGTTGACTTTGTCATGTGAAATGCACATTTGAGAAAGGTCTTTATCAAAACCAGTGGCTCTAGATCAGTGGATTTGAGCTGCGTAATATTTTGAGCAGATGAAATATTATGAGGCGATAGAAACAAATCCACTAAGAGCAGAGTGGCCTTAGCTGAATTGAGGGATGGGGGTGTATGTGTCCAGGAACAAGTCTGTTCTCTGTCCCACCCACTGTGGCCTCAGCGTTGGCTGGAATTTGAACCTTTGGGGATCCATGGAACACAATTTAAAGAATCACTGTTTAGGTCCTAAGCTGATATATCCTAAGGGTATAGTTTGAGATGAATCCCTAGTATACTAAACCACATGTGTGATATAAATGATTTTCTATCTAATTACACACACAAACACACACACATACAACCATACTGCATTGAAGACATGTTCCTTTCAGTTCACTGATGCTCATTCTGAGCTTTGTTGCTTTCATCAAAAACAGATTCACTTTTCCCTTTTTTTCCCACCAGCAACACTTTCTTGTACATTTCCTCTATACTCAGCTTTGTTTTTGTTATTTTTTTCAGTATAACAACTGAATCTTTTAAAATATTAATTCCAAAATTAATTTCTTACAGTGTCCTTTGAATCTCTATCATGTTTGCTCTTTGAAAATTTCTGTCGCTTGAATTCAGAAATAGACTTACAAATCATGTAATCTCTAAAATATTATTTCCCTGCTTTTAATATAATTTAACTTAAAACAGTGCATACTTTTGCATCAATTATGATGTCAAGTATTTTATAAAAATATGTCAAGGAAAGGTTTTATTGTCAACTGGCAGGTGGAGCTTAGCATTAAACAGTTGCATTATAGTTTATGCTAGAGCGTGTGCTACCCTGTGAGAATGCGCAGAAGGGCCTCTTCAGTATAAAATGGTATGAAAATGAAATTAGTGTAATGTGTTAAAAATATCCTATTAAAGAAAAGATGGTGTACTTTTTACTAGTTTTTGTTGCATAGAGTGTTTCTTTAGCTAAAACACTCGCATTGAGCAAGTACTTGTTGTGACAGGCCGTAGGTAAGTGCTTTGCCCACATGATCTCAGTTGGTCCTCACGACAAAACTAAGAGATGCGCTTTTTTGTCCCCGCTTTATACATGAGGAAACCAAGGTCAGTGAATTAAAGAGAGTTGTCCAAGGTCACAGAGCTAGTCAGCTGTAAAACTAGACTCGAGCTGAGGTCACTGTCTCCAAATCCCATGCTTTCAACCATTAGAGGTCAGGGGAAGTGTTTTTTGTTGTTGTTCTGAGGTTGGAATTGGAATTTCATTATGTACAAGCATATCACTAATCTAATTTTTCATTTTAAAAGTTGTCCCCATTATATAAATAATAGTGTAAAACAGAAAGTCTGAAATACCTGTAGTCCCGGCACCCAGAGGAAGCCTTTTCTTCTCTTTCCCTCGTTTCTCTTTCTATCACAGCCCACCTTCTGCAGGACGGAGCGTCGTGGATTAGCATTTGCCCCCGTAGGCAGGGTGCCGGGGCTAGACTGGCCCTGCCGTTACTAGCGGAGGCGCCTTGGGCGAGTCTCTTCCCCTCTGTGTCTCAGTCCCCTCGCCTGGAAAATGAAGATAATAATTGTGCCCATCCTTACGATTGTTGTGAAGGTTAAGGGCATAGGTATGTACGCAGCACTGAGAGCTGTTTTTGACACAGAGTAGGCGCTATATAAAATGTTAGCTATCGTTGATGATTAACGTGTAATTGGTGACTTATGATGATATATGAGCCTCACATCTTTCATTTTGTGGCATTATTCATGCATTTGTTTCTTTTTTTTAAGTTATAAGGCTGTCGTACTAGCAGCAAATCATTTTGGACGGTTTTTTACTGGTCAGATCACAGCTGCCGGAAAAGTTCCTCCGGCTAAGGTAGGTAAAACTTTGAATGTTTCTCATAATAGGAATTAATTGAAGGTGAGGGTATGTGTAGTTTTGAAAGACAGCTGTTTGCCCTTCTGTTGCATGTTACCTTCTCGCTGGTGACCTGTGGCATGTACAGATCCGCGGCGGAGCCCCCGCTGCTGAAGATGGCCTGAGAGAAGGCATGTGGACGTTTCTGGACATCCTAGTCCTTTCACCGTTTTTGACTCACTAACTTGAATTCTCAAAGGGATTTTGGACAACTCGTTCTGTTACTATTTTTAACAAAAGCTTCAAGATACCATTCAGCAAATTCTTGATTTCCCAATGATTGTGACATCTCAGTTCATTGAAACGATCGTCTTGGTTTCCTCATTTTTTGTCGAATCTTGGGTCACGGGGACAGGAAATGGGAGATGGTGTAATCAGGATGTTTGGCAGGGGCGAGGGTGCAGTTTCTTTAATCTGGGTTACTGAGAGAAGAGGAGAGGTGGGGATGGCTGGGTGAAAGAGCGGATTACGTGAGACCCCTCAACCCCGCGTACCCTAAATGACATAATGTCCTAGAAGCACGTGGGCAAGGTGTAGGAAACAGGACTTGAGCTCTTGCCATCTACCTGCAGAGTGCACCTGCCTGGAGGGTGCAGGTTGAGTTGGTGCTTCCTGCTTTTAGGTACTTTGTCATTATAAACCCAGAGTTCTCATGCAAAATAAATCACCTAGGAAAATGAAAAAAAGACAGTAGCAGCTTTGAGAAATCTAGTTAATTGCTTTAAAAGCAGGCCTGGGGAGAGAATGGCAGGTGTTTAAGTGGAGAGACAGAACATTCCTTCTGTAGGATTACACTGCTTCATTCTAGTGGCCTTTCCTCTTTTAAGTTGCGGGGTCGTTTGTTATTTCTGGTTGAGGATAACTTGGCCTAGTCCCGTGAGTTTTATTTATTTTATTCCATTTCATTGTTTTAGCAGCGTGTGTGGGGCGGGATGGTGGTGCTTGGAGGCCAGAGCCTGTTTGTTCTCTCTGGTCCCTCTTTGCCCCTTTTTCCTGTAGACTCCCCCCAAACAAACAAACTAACAAACTGTCACCATTAAGAGCAATTCGTAGGACTTTTGAGACACTGCCCGGGGGTCACTGGAGCACAGTGTGAGCGGGGAAGGAGGTGTGGGCATGATGGGTGGGTAGAAATCTATACGCTTCACTGTTTCTGTGGGTGGCTTCCTTCTTTCTTTCCTTTTTATTTATTTATAGCAACAAGGAGTTGCCTTCCATTGACTGGGAAGCATAATCATTCTTTTCTCCGAGCGCCCAGGCCACACCGCAGACATTGTCTTATTTTGTTTCTTAGAAGGCGGGGGGAGACTCTTGCTGATGAGGAATCTTTGGTTTCCTTGGCTCTGCCCCTCCCCTGGCTAGGGAGATGAATTACATTGCTTTGTATTTCAGGTACAGTTCATTCAAAAGGCTTCAAAATTAGGGGCTTGATCACCTGCTTTCCTTTCAGAGGCACTGGGGCTCAAAGTTGGGGTTGGAGTAGATGGTTCGCCGCAGTTGTTCCCGTCTTTGAAACTTGCTTTGATATTTTATGAACATAGTAAATTATGGGAGAGGGGAAGGCTAGCTAGGAGCCGCTCTGGGGGTGTGAGCGGAAGGAGCTTTGGCGGTGAAGGAGCCGGTAACCTTTAACACACATACCCCCCATCTGGCTGGAAGAAGCGTCCACCCCCTTCCACACCCCCTTCCACACCGGGAGGCTGATTGTCAGGCTATTTTTAGTGAAGGTCGTTGGCCTTTGCCAGCAGTGTTCCTTTGATAACTTAAAAAACAGTGGCCTGGGGGGGAGGTGGAGGAAGGTGTAAGGGGGGAATCGATGGTGATGGCAGGAGACTTGACGGTGGTGAACACACATGCAGTGTGCAGATAGTGTAGTGTGGAATTGTGCTCCTGAAACCTGTATAATGTTAACCTGTGTCACCTCAATAAATTCAATAAAAAGGGAAAAATAAATAAAAAGCAGTGGCCTTCAGTTAAAGAANAATGTTAACCTGTGTCACCTCAATAAATTCAATAAAAAGGGAAAAATAAAAAGCAGTGGCCTTCAGTTAAAGAATTGTCTGTCCACCCAGAACATTGAGTGAGGCCTTACCCTCGCCACCAGCACTGCCTGGTTTATTATGGGGGCTGACTGTGTACCAGGCACTGGTAGTTATTGGTGGGTGATTTTTCATCATGAGTTGATAATGCACTTCATTGAAAACACACCTGTTCTGCCTTCCGTCCTAGATTCTGATAGTTGGCGGCGGCGTGGCTGGGCTGGCCTCTGCAGGTGCAGCCAAGTCCATGGGCGCGATCGTCCGAGGGTTTGACACGAGGTGAGCGCTTTACTGGCGATGCTGTCAGGTCAGACCATGGGTTCAGCTGGATGTTGTGCTTTCCTAAGAGTTTATAAATTTAAGGAGCACATTGAAAACGGTGCTATAAGCTCTTTAAATATTTCTCCTTTTTCAAAGTGAACTCAAAGTGAAAACAGATTACTTAGTAGACAAAAATTTAAGGACCGAGACTCAGTACAGCAGAAATAATTAAAAAAACAAAACAAGAGAATCGAAAACTAACACCTCACGCTCTGTTGGTTTTTTTCTTTTTAACATTTTTATTTATTGACTTGAGAGAGAGAGAGAGGAAGGGAGAGAGGAGATATATTTGTTGTTCCATTTATTTATGCATCATTGGTTGATTCTTGTATATGCCCTGACTGGGGATCAAACCCGTAACCTTGGCGTATGGGGATGATGCTTTAACCAACTTAGCTACCCAGCCAGGGCTGGAGGTGGTAATTTAATGGGTCTGGAAAGGGGCCTGGGAATTTGAATTGCTAACAGGTAGCTGGAGCAATTGTTGTAACCAGGGACGTCACCGTAGGATGGGTGTTGGTCAGAGCTGAGACCTCTGCTGGCCCAGGTTTTCCAACCAGTACACAATGCTTGGCCAGTATTAAAAAAACACACCTGTATATATTTTTACATAATTTGAAAGTATTGACTTATTACATTTACCATTTATACCATTTACAAATTGATTTTTTTCAAACACAGTTTAAGGACGGCTAGCAGCAAAAATCACTTCAATAAAATATGTCTAAGTAAAAGTCATTTATTTGGGAAAAGTCCCCATAAGTCAGAGCATTTACAGATGAACACCACTTGAGTGATTTGAATGAAGTCAGATCTTCATGGAGCTGGGATCTCCCATCATCATGGAGAGTGGAGCCACAGAAACACAATGGATTACTGGAGTTGGCAATGGTGAAATTCCTTTTGTAATTTGACTAAGAAGTTGGGATTTCCTATCTTTTTTTTCCCCCCCAGAAAAAAAAATTTATCATGAAAACATTAGAAAAAGTTGTAAGAGTCCAATCAGAGACATCAAAAGAAAGTCTCCACTTTTGAACATACACAGTTTTTCTTTTTAAAAATGTCTGTGGTAATGATCTTGATTGTGTGTTAAGGGCCTAGAATAACTGCTGCTTTCCCTCAATGATCGCAGAGCTGCAGCCCTGGAGCAGTTCAAGTCCCTTGGTGCTGAGCCCTTGGAGGTGGACTTGAAGGAGTCCGGCGAGGGCCAGGGTGGGTATGCGAAGGAGATGTCCAAGGAGTTCATCGAGGCGGAGATGAAGCTGTTCGCGCAGCAGTGCAAGGAGGTGGACATTCTCATCAGCACCGCCCTCATTCCAGGTGTGTCATTAGTAAATTGAACTATTTGCCGTCAGCCCTTTTTCTGTGTATTTTTTAAAAAATGTATTTTTATTGAATTTTAGAGAGAGAAGAAGGGAGAAGGGGAGAGAAAGAGAAACATTGATTGGCTGCCTCCTGCATCCCTCCTACTGGGGACTGAGCCTGAAATCCAGGCATGTGCCCTGACCAGGAATCAAACCAGCAACCCCCAGGTGCACGGGACGACACCCAACTACCTGAGCCAACCAGCCAGGGTTTTTTTAAATTTTATTTTTTATTTTCACCGAGGATATGTTACTGATTTTAGAGAGAGAAGAAGGGGGGTGGGGGGAGAGAGAGGGAGAAACATCGATGTGAGAGAGAAACATGGATTGGTTGCCTCCCTTCCCCTCCCAGACGGGGAATTGAACTACAGCCTAGGTATGTGCCCTGACCGGGACTCGAACCTGAAATCTTTTGGTGTATGGGACCATGCCCCACCCAACTGAGCCACCTGGCCAGGGCCAGGTGCTACCTTTTACCGTAGGAAATTCCAATAGTACTGAAAAACATGGAGAGAAAGGTACAGATCTGAAGGTCCGCCAGAGATGACTGTTACTAATGTTTTGATGACCATCTTTTCACACGTGAGAGAGAGGGGAGCTTTGTGTGTGTGTGTGTATTTATGGAAGGTCCAGTATATATATTTTTACTAAAAGGCATGGCACTTTGCCACTTTCTAATTATTTCCTTTGACATGTTTGGTCTTTGCAACCAAATTATGAGCTCTTCCGATGTCAGGAATTACTCTCCAGTCCCTTACTCCACCCTCTTCTACAGAAGAGTTTTCCCTCAGTAGGTGACTGATGTCAAACCAACAGGCACTTACTACTTAATAAACACTAGCTTGATCTAGCAAGATTTGGGAGTAAAGAAACTCTCCATCTTTTATATAGTCTTACCTCTTCTCTCTCCCTGTTCTTTCCATGTGTTATTGAGTAATAAATACCATGCTAATTTTTTCCTTTCTAAAAGGTGGGCCATATAATGAGAGCTTACAGGGTTCATGGTTCCTTGTGCTAGATTCTACTAAAGGAGCCCCACTTTCTCCAGGGGACTGTGGAAAATTAGAAGTTGCTTTGTCCTGAGGTCACAGGAGAGGAGAAGTTCTCTTCTGTCCCTGCTCCCTCCAAAATCTGGCTATAATAAACCCAAGGACAGGAAGTTGATCATATCTATGAGCATGTGGGGAAAAACATGCCTCCTGAGCTCTTTTTTCTGTCCTCTGGGTGTCCAGGTGATACCTGATAGGTGGTTTGGTCCCTCCAGGAGCTGGCAGGATGAGCAGATGGCAGGGGGGCCATATGGGCTCTTCCCACTGAACAACCTGTGAGTATAGAAACGAGGCCTGGAGGTGAACGCAGAGAGCAGGCCAGCCCGGGGCCCAGGTGGCGGCTGTGAAATCTGCGGCCACGACAGGACTCGTGAGCAGGAGAGCACTCAGGATTCGCCCTTCTGTGGCACCGGCTCAGCTGTTGCACAGGTGGCTTTGGAGGAGGGATGGTGTGGCCTTGCAGTGCCATCTGACCTTTGAAAGGCAGCTGAGGCATGTTTGAGAGGAGGTAGGAGCGGGCTAGATGCGACCGGTGGCCAGTAGAGGGTGCTAAAACATTTGTTCATGGAGCAGATGAGGCCCTGAAGCTAGATTCAGTCAAGTCAGACCTTCCTAAAGAGCTGAGGAGAGTTTGGACACAGTGTATAGAATTATTATTGATCATAAAGCTTAAGGTGAGTGATAGAACTCAAGACTTCTTATATAAAACACATACTGACTTTTAGGGCCTATCCCCCATAGCGTCTTATTTTTTTGTAAGTAGTTTATAGTAAGTGTACTTTAGTAGAAGGTCAAATTGTGTCTTTTTTTTTTTTTTTTTTAAATCCTCACCTGAGGATATGTTTTTATTGATTTTTAGAGAGAGAGAAAGGGGGAGAGAGAGAGAGAAACATCGATTGGTTGTCCCATTTATTTATACACTCATTAATTGCTTCTTGTATGTGCTCTGACTGGGGATTGAACCCACAACCTTGACGTATGGGGGCGATGCTCTAACCAACTGAGCTGCTTGGCCAGAGCTGTATAACAAGTCTTAAAGAAGATTTGTTGAAGTTTGATTACCTTTTCCTCCTCTGAAGTTACAGTCTATCTCAGCACATTACACTTGCAGAGAGACCAGTGCATAGGTCCAGAGTTCACACTCAGAAAGCTGGTCTGAAAAGGACCTTTCTGTTATTTTTTTTTCTTTTGCAAACTGAAAAAAAAAAAGTTAACTAGAATAATATAAGGAAGAAGACAATCTTTTTAAAGATCTTTTATATCCCCAGGGGGCTGAAACCTGAAAGCATGAGTATTAGGAAAAAAGTTTGAAAGATTATATAAAGTTGCAAATGGCCTTGAAAGGCAGTGTCCTTGGCATTGTACCTTTGCAGGTTTGCGTCCTGAGCCTGTGCACGGGTCACCTGACGGCGTGTCTTACTCCTGAAAGACTCTGAGCAGAAGTTATTCTAAGGTTTTTCTTGAGTTGGATCCAAAGGGGATTAAGTTAAATGTCAGAGTTGAGATTCCTTAGACCAAGATCCTCGTGGCCATCCTGGAGGCCTGGCCTGGATGATAATGTTGAGAGGGACACACACAATCAGCTAGTTTCAGGCTGCAATCTAATAGCCTTGGGAAATTCTCATTTCTCCCAGCTGCACATCAGTGGGCTTGAAAAAATGATAATCTTGTGCTTATGTGGGCTGTAGGTAATGAACTGTTTCTGTAGCCAGCGCATTGTCATGCTCCCTGGGATTTTGTACCATATACTTGTTCCAAAAAACTTGCCCCCAGGATTTGGTTGGGTGATGGGCTGGAATTTCAGTTAAGGCAGATAACATCAGGATAGGGCCTAGCCGGCTGTCCCGTTGGGTGGTGCTGTGTGCACAGGGAGAGCTCCTAACCCCCTGTCCAGCTCTTTGACCTTTGAGACTACAGTACTTAGACAGTAAGGCAGCCCCACTCTCTGGGCATGTTCAGGCTGTGCTCAAAATCTTTCTGCTACACCTTTTGAGACACAAAAGTTTTGTTTTTTTAGCATCCCTAGTGTCCTGGAACCCTTTTTTTAAAATATGTTTTTTTAATTGGTTTTTTTTTTTTTTTTAGAGAGGAAGGGAGAAGGGGAGAGAGAGAGAGAAACACCCATGAGAGGGAAACATGGATCTACTGCCTCCCGCAGGCCCCCGACTGGGGATCAAGCCTGCAACCGGGGCATGTGTCCTGACTGGGAATCGAACCGGCGACCTCTTGGTGCCTGGGGCGACCCTCAACCAGATGAGCCACACTGGCTGGGGCCTGGATCCCTTTTAGAGAGACTTTTCATAGACGTGGAGTGTTTGACCAGTAAGAGGCTGGATCGGGTTGAAGCTCTGCTCAGTGAGTTAAGGGGGGAGCGTTGGGTGGGATGAGGAGCACTTAGTGCTGACTGTGTGGAGGCGGATTCACCTAAATTCCAGTGGGGATTGAGTCCTGTGGAGCACACGCCCAAGTCACCCTGCCGGCAACAGCCGTTTCCATTGAAAGCCTTCCCCGATGGCCACCTTATTAAAACATCCCAACCATCAAGAGGTCACCGAGCTTTCCCACCGTCCCCTTCCCCACCGCAGGACTTGCCCTCATTGTGTAATCGAACCGCAGCTATTGGAAAGCCTGGGGATTTGTTTAACAATGGTGGCTGTGTCTTGGAGCACCTGGGCTCCCGGCATCATTGAGTAAAGGCATCTAAAGCGATCAGGATTGAGCCACGTCACCCCCACTCCCCCCACCTAGGCTTCCAAGTCTGTACTCCTTGGTAAGGTATTTAGTTAGCTTTGGGGCCCGAGTTAGCGTTTGGGCCTCATGGTAAACTAATTTATTGCTCTCTGGGTCAGATTTCAGTCATGCTGGCTGCTGTGATCTCCTCAAATAGGCCAAGGACTTTCAGGCCTTTACACGTATTGTCCCCTCTCTTGGGAATGTATCCCTGCTCTGCCCTGCCCTTCGAAATCCTGCCTGTCAGTTTAACGCTTTCTCCGCAGTTTCTGCTGTTTCCTACTTGGTAGTAAGCTCCCCCTCTCCTCCATTTGTAGCCCTTTGCCTGTGCCTCAGATTCCAATAGTTCTCAGTGTCCTTGCCCCTCGGTTGCGCTGTGTCCCTGTGTGCACAGGGAGGGTGTTTGCTTTACCCCCCGCCTGGCCCGTGCTTAGCACGAAGCCTCACACACGACAGTGGCTCCGCAAATGCTGCCTGGCTGAGCTAATGATCCTCAGTGCCTGCCTTAGGTCTCGGTTGGTACAACCCCTTTTATTTTTCCAGGGCTATCCAAGGAAAGATAGTGAATGCTCTGTTGGTTCAGTTTTGGGTAGGAACATTGCAGAGGGTGATTTAAGACCGGGAAGCCAGCATTTTCATTTTCTTCAGAGAAATACTCAGAAGTGGGTTTGCTGAGCTGTATGGTAGTTCTATTTTTAGCTTTTTGAGGAATCTTCGTACGGTTTTCCACCCTGCCTGCACCAATTTGCAGCCCTACTAACAGTGCACAAGGCTTCCCTTTTCCCCACATCCTCGCCAGCATTTGTTTTTTGTTGACTTTCTGGTACTAGCTATTCTGCGGGTGTGAGATGATGCCTCACTGTGGCTTTGACTTGCGTCTCTGATGATTAGTGACGTTGAACATCTTTTGGCCACAGGTATGTCCCTTTTGGAGAAATGTCTATTCAGGTCCTTTGCCTATTGTTTTTAACCCTCACCTGAGGATGTTTTGTTTTTTTAAAAAAATTTTTTATTTTAGAGAAAGAGGAAGGGAGAGAGAGAGAGAGAGAGACATTGATGTAAGTGCCAGAACCTCATGTTTTGATGATTATAGCTTTGTATTATAGCTTGAGATCAGGGAGTGTGATACCTCTAACTTTTTTTCTTCTTCAAGATTACTTTGGCTATTTGGGGTCTT